GAGGGAGAGAGGGAGGAAGGAAAAAAGGAAGGGAGGGAGAAAAATGAAAGGAAAGAAAGAAGGGAGGGAGGGTGGGGTGGAGGGACAGAGGAAAGAAGGAAGGGAGGAAAGGAAATTACAGGAAAGAAATAAATGAAGGAGGGAGGGAGGGAGGGAGGAAGGACTCCGCTTACGGGTGCAGGGTCTGCTCCGATCCCTGCAGTCGCCCGAGAGGCAGGATCCGCACCGCTTGCACTCCTGCAGACGCCGGCCGTGTTCTGACAGCGCCTCCTCCAGGGAAAGCAGGGCGGCCTTCAGGGCGGCTTCAAGCACCAGGGTGCCCCGGCTGGACAGTGCTGGGGGAGAGGTGGACAAAGCAACAACGCCTGCTGTGGGACCAGCTTCCCTGCCCATCGGCTCAAAGCGGGAAACATCCGACCGCAGGGGAATCGCCATACTTGGCAGCTTTAAGACTTGTGGACTTCGACTCCCAGAATTCCCCAGCCAGGACTGACCTCGCCTCAAGGACAGCTGGGGGACGCTGGTCCCGAAGCTGCTCTAAAGGGGCAGCCTGGATTGGCCTCAGTGAGGACTAGAAGTCTGCAGGCTGCTCTTACCTCAGAAGGCATTGTAATGGGTCAAGGGGAAAAGTCCCTTGCTGAAGTGGGAGCTGCATGGATTTACATTAATGAGGACTACAATGCTGCCCGCTGCTCTTACTTTGCAAGATGCTGGCAGGCAGGGGGAATTCATTGGTGGTGGTGGTGGTGGTGGAAACCATACAGATCGGCCTCAATGAGGACTAGAAGGCTGCCAGCCGCTCTTATCATGCAAGATGCTGGCAGGCAGGGGGAGGAGCTCCTGGGGGGTGGAAAGCATGGATCAGCTTCAATAAAGACTACAAGGCTGCTCTTATCTCGCAAGATACTGATGGGCAGGGAGGGAAGAGCCCCTTGGGGGAGATCTGCATGAGGACTAGAAGGTTGCTGTCCTCTCCTACCTTGCTAGAGGCTAAAGGGCAGGGTGAAGAGCTCCTTGCCAGGAAGGAAACCCCACAGATCGGCCTCAATGAGGACTAGAAGGCTACTGGCCGCTCTTACCTCCCAAGACAGGGGGAAGACTCCTTGCCGGAGAGGGAGCCTTTCGGATCGGCCTCAGTGAGGACTAGAAGGCTGCCAAACCACATGGATCGACCTCCCTGAGGACCTCCCTGAGGACTAGAAGGCTGCCGGCTGCTTTTACCTCGCAGACAGGGGGAAGACTCCTTGCCTGGGAGGGAGCCTTGCAGGTCGGCCTCAGTGAGGACTAGAAGGCTGCCAAGCCACATGGATCAACCTCCATGAGGACTAGAAGGCTGCCGGCCACTCTTACCTCGCAAGACAGGGGGAAGACTCCTTGCCGGGGAGGGTTGGCCTCCCTGAGGACTAGAAGGCTGAAGATAGGGGGAAGACTCCTTGCTCCTCGGGGAGGGAGCCTTGCGGGTCGACCTCCCTGCGGACTAGAAGGCTGCCGGCCGCTCTTACCTCCCAAGACAGGGGGAAGACTCCTTGCCGGGGAGGGAGCCTTGCAGGTCGGCCTCAGTGAGGACTAGAAGGCTGCCGAGCCACATGGATCGGCCTCCCTGAGGACTAGAAAGCTGCTGGCTGCTCTTACCTCCCAAGACAGGGGGAAGACACCTTGCCGGGGAGGGAGCCTTGCGGGCCGGCCTCAGTGAGGACTAGAAGGCTGCCAAACCACATGGATCGACCTCCCTGCGGACTAGAAGGCTGCCGGCCGCTCTTACCTCCCAAGACAGGGGGAAGACTCGTTGCCGGGGAGGGAGCCTTGCGAATTGGCCTCAGTGAGGACTAGAAGGCTGCCGAGCCACATGGGTTGGCCTCCCTGAGGACTAGAAAGCTGCCGGCCGCTCTTACCTCCCAAGACAGGGGGAAGACTCCTTGCCGGGGAGGGAGCCTTGCGGGTCCGGCCTCAGTGAGGACTAGAAGGCTGCCGAGCCACATGGATCGGCCTCCCTGTGGACTAGAAAGCTGCCGGCCGCTCTTACCTCCCAAGACAGGGGGAAGACTCCTTGCCGGGGAGGGAGCCTTGCGGGTCCGGCCTCCGTGAGGACTAGAAGGCTGCCGAGCCACATGGGTCGGCCTCCCCGAGGACTAGAAGGCCGCCGGCCGCTCTTACCTCGCAAGGCGCTGGCCGGCAGGGGGAAGAGCTCCTTGGCGGGGGCAGCCGCGGGGGCCGGATCCGCCCGGCGGGGGAGCCCCATCAGCAGCACCAGCAGCAGCACCGGGGGGGGCTCCATGTCCCGCGTGGGCAGAAGGAGCGTCGCTGGGCCTTCCTCGCGCGGGGCGATCGGAGGAGCCTCGGAGCGGCTGCATATATACCGACCCGCGGGGGCACCTGTTCCCGGGGCCGCGCTCGGAGGGGCCGGGGGGGGGGCGCGCTTCATTAGGCCGCCCTGGAAGGGAGCCGGGCGCTGCCCTCCGCTGAATGGGGCCATTGTGCTCGGGTCCCCCCGGGGCTGCGGGCCCATCAAAGGCGCCACCAGATCAGAGGCGGCCGCCGCCCTTGATCGTTTCCAACGGGGACAGCTGCCCCGGAGGAAAGCGGGGGGTGGGGGGGTGGCAGCCTCCGGGGGTCCCGGGGGGGGGCGTCTTCCCAAGCCGGGAAGGGGGTGAAACGGGTTCACACGACCGCTCGACCCGCTTGGTAATAAAAGAGCCGGCCTCCGTCTCGGCGCGCCAGACTCAAGGGGGGGGGCGTTTGTTCTGCCCCCTTTATTGGGGTGTGTGTATGGGGGGTGGTGGTCGTGAACCCCGGAAAACAGAGGATTCCAGGAAGAGGGTCGAGGCGGTGTCCGGACTTTGGGATCCTGGTGAAGAGATGCCTTCCCACCACCGGTCCGAACTGGGTCAAAGGACTTTGGTTCTCCCGCTTTCCGGGTTCCCAGGAAATCTGAAGCCAGATCAGACGACAGCCTGCTAGCCAATGCATTCACACAACATGCTCATTAGCCTGTGTTAGGTTTGTTTTTTTTTAGAGAGTTTGCTGAGTTGTGTTTGAATAATATCTCTGGTCTTACTAAGGCTTTATAAAGCAGCCCTAAGACTTCACCTGATCTTCTGATCCTATCCTTCGGTTAATGCAAGCTAGGATTTTGCGTTGGCTTTTTTGGGCGGCTGCCCCACACTGCCAGCTCATGCAGGGAGTCCTCGACTTTCAGCAGTTCGTTTAGTGACCGTTCTAAGTTACAAGGGCACTGCAAAAAGGGACTTATCGTTTGTCACAGTTATGGCCGTTGCAGCATCCCAAGGTCACGTGATCAAAATGGAATGGAACGGATTGGAACAGAATGGAATGGAATAGAATGCAGAATAAAATGGAATAGAATAGAATGGAATGGAATGCAGAATAGAATAGAATGGAATGGAATGGAATGCAGAATAAAATGGAATAGAATAGAATGGAATGGAACGCAGAATAGAATAGAATGGAATGGAATGGAATGGAATGGAATGCAGAATAAAATGGAATAGAATAGACTAGAATGGAATGGAATGGAATAGAATAGAATAGAATAGAATAGAATAGAATAGAATAGAATAGAATAGAATAGAATAGAATAGAATAGGAGCTGGAAGGGACCTTGGAGGTCTTCTAGTCCAGCCCCCTGCTCAAGCAGGAGAGCCTATACCATTCCAGACAAGTGGCTGTCCAGGTTCTTCTTAAAAACCTCCAGTGATGAAGCATCCACAACTTCTGGTGGCAAGCTGTTCCACTGGCTAATTGCCTTCACTGTTAGAAAGTTTCTCCTTAATTCTCCTTAATGTTTCTCTCCTTGATCAGTTTCCATCCATGGTTTCTTGTCCTGCCTTCTGGTGCTTTGGAAAATAACTCCAATCAATCAATCAATCAATCAGAATAGAGCTGGAAGGCACCTTGCAAGTTTTCCAGTCCGACCCCCTGTTCAAGCAGGGGACCCTATGCAATTTCAGACAAACAGGGCTGTCCAGTCTCTTCTTAAAAACCTCCAGTGATGAAGCACCTACAACTTCTGGTGGCAAGCTGTTCCACTGGTTGATTGTCCTCACTGTTAGGTCATTTCTGCTTACTGGTAGTTTTAAGTTGCTTCTCTTCTTGATTAGTTTCCAACCGTTGTTCCTTATCTTGTCTTTTGGTACTTTGGAAAATAAATTGACCCCCTCCTCTTCTTTGGGGCAGCCCCTCAAACACTGGAAGACTGCCATCATGCCCCCCCTAGTCCTTCTTTTCTCCAGATTACAGGTAATCCTCGACTTACGACGAAAACTGAGCCCGGCATTTATGTTGCTACGTGAGAAATTTGTTAGGTCAGTTTTCTCCTATTTTACGACTTTTCTTGCCACCTGTTGTGAAGGGAATCAAGTTGTCAAGTTGGCAACAAGGTTGTTTTAAGTGAATCTGGCTCCCCCGTAGACTTTGGTGGTGGCAAAAAAGGGGGAATCCCACGACCCCGGGACGCCGCGACCGTCATAAATATGAGTCACTTGTCAAACGTCTGAATGTTGATCGCGTGACCCTGCGGATGCCGCAACGGGCGTAAAGGGTGAAAAACAGGCTACAGGTCCCTTGTTTCCCGTGCCGCGGTGACTTTGAACGGTCGCTAAACGAACGGGTTGTAAGTCGAGGACAGCCTGTGCTGGATAATAACTTGGTAACAATCGAGAGTCCTTTGATAAATCGGGTCAGAGGTGTTGTGTGAACGCCGCTAACTCTCTGCCTTTGGGAAAAAGGGGTCCCCGCCCCTCGGCCGTTGCTCGGCGCCGGGAGGGGGGGGGACATGTGCATGCGTGTGACAGAGAGAACAGAGAAGAGGCGGCTGCTTTTAATCTTCGCCTTTGTCCCCACGCTAGTGCCAGCTATTCGGAGCCCCCCCCCCTTGCTGCCCCCCCCCCCAGCGCTCCTTGCAATTACAGCCTTTTGATCCACCGGAGAAGCGGCTATTGTCAACCACACTCCATGCGACAATTAAGGGGTCTGGGAGAGAAGGGACAATTTGCAGCAGGAAGGGAGACGACCTGCCCCCTCCCCATCCCCCAGCCCCCCCCCAGCTCTGCCACTTCGGAAGGGGAGACACTCAGCAAGCCGCGTTTCCCTCCCTCTCCCACGCCTCCGAAGGTTCCTGCAGACATCTCCAAGCAAGCGCATCTGAAACAGAGCTTGCTGGAAAGGGGGAATTGGGGAGGGGGAAAAGGGGGGTCCGAAGGGCAGCGACCATTTGCTGGGGTTTGGCAAAGTGTGGGCTGCAGAGCGGGATTGAGGCTCCACCCTCAAGATTTTAGAGAGAAGCAGCTCTCCTCTATCTCCTCTCTTCCCTTTCTCTCCTCTCTCCTCTCTCTTCTCTCTCTCTCTTTCTCTTCTCTCTTTCTCTCTTTCTCTTCTCTCTTTCTTCCCTTTCTCTCCTCTCTCTTCTCTCTCTCCTCTCTCTTCTCTTTCTCTCCTCTCATTCTTCACTCTCCTCTCTTCTCCCTCCCCTCTCCTCTTTCTCTCCTTTCTTCTCTCTTCTCTCTCTTCTCTCTTCTTTCTCTCCTCTTTCTCTCTCTCTTCTCTCTTCTCTTTCCCTCCTTTCTCCTCTCTCTCCTCTCTTCCCTTTCTCTCCTCTCCCTTTTCTCTCCTCTCATTCTTCACTCTTCTCTCTCCTTTCTCCTCTCTTCTCTTTATCTTATCTATTTCTCTCTTCTCTCTCCTCTCCCTCCTTTCTCTCTCCTCTTTCTCTCCTCTCATTCTTCACTCCTCTCTCTCCTCTCTCTTCTCTTTCTCTCTTCTCTCTTCTCTTTCTCTCATCTCATTCTTCACTCTCTTCTCTCCCCCTCTCCCCTCTTTCTTCACTCTCCTTTCTTCTCTCTTCTATCTCTCTCTTCTCTCCTCTCTCTCTCCTCCCTCTTTTCTTTCTTCCCTCTCTTCCCTTCTCTCTCTTCTCTCTCCTCTTTCTCTCCCCTTTCTTCACTCTCCTCTCTCTACTCTATCTCATCTCTCTTCTCTTTCCCTCCTCTCTTCTCTCCGTTCTCTTCTCTCTCTCTGTCTCCTTTCTCTCTCTCCTCTCTCTCCTTTTTCTCTCTCTCTCCTCTCTCTCTCTCTCTCTCTCTTCCCTGCAATAGCCCATTCAGCTTATCTCAAGTGAGAACACAGTTTTGAGTTGATGGAAAGCATTAGACTGCTGAGTCCGGCTCCAGATTACAAAATTGAAGAATTCCCCACCCGGGAAGCAAAAAAAAGAAAAAGAGCATTAAGCCGCTCTTAAGCCTATAATGGGAGCCGTTGCCGCCTCCAATCAAATCAGGATAGGGAGGCAGAGGCGCCTTGCTTGGGAAAATGGCTAGGATGAGCAGCAGCAAGACGTTGCTAAAAATTGTCATTTTAATGCAAATCTGGTTTGTCTGCTGGCTCCTAGGGACCAACGGGATCTCCTTTCTGGGTTGTTTCCGTTACATAGGGTCCCTTTTGGGGACACCTGAGCACGATTTGAACCTTAATCTTAATCTAAGGAATAAATTGACCCTCACAGATGTCCTGTAGGTCAGGGCTCCTCAACCTTGGCAACTTGAAGACTTGTGGACTTCAATTCCCAGAATTCCTCAGCCAGCATGCCTGGCTGAGGAATTCTGGGAGTTGAAGTCCACAAGCAGGGGTCTTCAAACTGGGCCCTTTTATGACTTGTGGACTTCAACTCCCAGAATTCCTCAGCTAGTGTGCCTGGCTGAGGAATTCTAGGAGTTGAAGTCCACAAGTCATAAAAGGCACGCCTGGCTGAGGAATTCTGGGAGTTGAAGTCCACAAGCAGGGGTCCTCAACCTTGGCAACTTTAAGACTTGTGGACTTCAACTCCCAGAATTCCTCAGCCAGCAAAGCTATAGGTAGTCCTCAACTTACGACCACAATTAAGCTCAACATTTCCATTGCTAAGCAAGGCCTTTATTAAGTGAGCTGAGCCCTGTTGGACGACCTTTTCCCCACAGTCATTAAACGAATCATTGCCGTGGATAAGTGAGTCGTGCGATCATTAAGTGGGTCTGGCTTCCCCTGAGGACTTTGCCTGTCAGAAGATCACAAAAGGGGATCACACGATCCCCGGGATGCTGCGACCGTCATAAATATGAGTCATTGCCAAACGTCCGGATTTTGATCCTGTGACCATGGAGATGCAGCAGCTGCCAAAAAAGCCAACACAGTGCTAGGCTGCATTAACAGAAGGATAAAATCAAGATCACGTGACGTGTTAATTCCACTTTACAAGGCCTTGGTAAGGCCACACTTGGAATAGTG